ATTCGAGACAAATGTGGTTTGAAGTATGACAAACTACCCACAATTTTGTATGAAGACAATGCAGTATGCATAACCCAGTTGAAGGGAGGATTCATAAAAGGGGATAGGACAAAGCACATTTTACCAAAGTTATTTTTCACACATGATCTTCAAAAGAATGGTGATATCAATGTGCAACAGATCCGTTCAAGTGATAATATGGCTGATTTGTTCACCAAATCTCTACCGACGTCAACCTTCAAGAAACTAGTGTACAAGATTGGGATGCGAAGGCTCAAGGATGTGAATTGATGCTCTCATCAGGGGGAGTTAATACGCGTTGTACTCTTTTTTTCTTACAAGGTTTTGTCCCACTAGGTTTTCCTTGCAAGGTTTTTAATGAGGCAACCAAAAGGCGTATTTCTAAATATGTATACTCTTTTTCCTTCACTAGGATTTTTTTTCCATAGAATTTTTTCCTAATAAGGTTTTAACGAGGCACATTATCTATGGACATCCAAGGGGGAGTGTTATAAGAAAAATCAAATTATGGTGGATGTCTACTCTTCCTCCATGATCTTCTCAAATGCTTAATGACATATTCAATGACATATTTTTCTTCACTTTTCATGCCTATATAAAGGCCTTGTAATAGATAGGAAAATACACATAATTGAAGAAGAAAATCTCTTTCTTCTCTCTATCTCCATTTCTTGTTCATGTTTTACTAAATTACTTTTATTTCATAACATGTCTTATTCATGTTTTACTAAGTTACTTTTATTTTATAACAGATAGTTATTTTTCTTAAAATGGTATCCAACGGACAAGTATATTTATGTGCCAATTGCGAAGGCTTGCTATAAGCCAGTTTGACATATGGCTGAGCACAAAAAAATCAATAAATAAATTGTGATCAACATAAATTTTAATTATAGCATAAACAGTTCGGAGACATGAACAACAAAAATAAATTTGTATATGAACGTAGAAATATAATGTGAGCCCTAATAGAGAAAAATAGTTTGAGAACTAACATGTGATAGATATTTGCAAATCACTGACGGTATTTTAATTGCTTCCAAGGTTAAGAACGAACCACAACTTGGAATGAGAACGACAAATATATATTTGGGTGGAGTAAGTATAAAATAGGATAAAGGGCAAAAATATAATTATAGAATAATAAGTAAGGGCATAATTGAAAAGAAGAGTATGAAACAATCCCACCACACCGATTTGATTGTTTCAAAAAATGGGCCCTTTCGTTGTTTCGAAATAATGGATTTAACAATAATGCAATATAATCAATTTTAAATAAACAATCAAAAAAAATATTATTTTGAAATAATAATACAATACGATACAATGGGTAACAACCATCCAAACAAGCTGTAAGTCTTGACTTATTTACTATTTTTATAATGATATCAGTGCCCGAGTGAGCAAATATTGCGATTAAGGAGTCGGAAAAATTGAATCTTGTTACTTTCCATCAACACAAATATTTGAATTATTCCATCGAATTCTGTTATCTATTGCCAGGACAAGTTCCTACATTCTCATTCTCAACATTCAAGGCTATTCTTTTCACATCGTCGGCAAATTCAACTATTTACCTAGCTTGAATCTTGTTCAATTCATAAATACGTGCAATCCCAATCTCTAACTAATACCACTTGACCGATCTCATCCACTTAAAAATTGGTGTAAAAGTTGCTAATAATTGACTCTTGAGTTTCGTTGCTCGGGAAGAAAGTTCCATAATTCAATTAAAGATAGATTGAAGGGAGAATGCCGCTTTAGAAAAAATTGCCTTACTTAGTACATTAAGACACCCGTTGCGCAGTAAGGCGAATAATCTATTGCCAGCACAAGCATCAAATATTATAGTACAACTAAATAAATGAGAAGAAATCACTAATAATTTTATTTCTCTTAAGATTTGAACTTTGATCTATAAAAATTGCACTTACTTCATTGACAATTAGATCAGTAATAACAACATAGGAAAGAAACTATAGTAGTGAAGAAGTCATGAAAAAATTAGAAGCAATAATAACATCAAGATAATATGAAAACTAAAGCAGGAAAGATATCATGTAATAATAGAGATCTAAGAATAAGAAAATACGAGAATAATACTAGTGCTACCATTAAGGGAACGAAAAATACTCAACAAAGATGATCTCAATGAAAGACAAAGTAGAAACTGAATCCAAAGTTGGAATTAATCATAAACTGAATCATGACATTGTGAGCCCGAAAGACTGGAGAGATTGATGACTGAGTGAGGTCGAGGGCCGGATTGTGAGGATAATTATGGGATCGGGCTGCACGCCGCAACATGCCAGATTGGCTTATTATAGCACGTGAGTTGTCCGTGCGGATCCAGATATTATTATAGCACGTGAGTTATCCGTGCAGCACGTGAGTTGTCCGTGCAGATTATAGCGCTTGGGCTGAAAAAGCCCCTCCGGAGTCTGTACACACCCCCAGTGAGTGCAGGTACCTACTGAGTGCGAGTGCCGAGTGCCGAGCGATTGGGAGGACTGAGTAACTGGGAGGACTGAGTAAAATGATACTCTAAGAGTATGCATATGATTTTATCACTGAGTTGCATCGCATTGACATGCGCACAAGACATACGGGCATAGAGATGTATTTTCCTCATGCTGTACAGTATCACATCATTTATTATTTCTCACACATGTTGATAGATAGGCATAGTGATGCATTTGTTTTTACATGGGTTATTTGGAAAGAAAATGAAACATCTCATTTATTATTGAAAGGATTTTGGAAAAATTATTGTTTTCAAACTTATTCATATTTTTGGCAGTTTCGGTAAACGATTTGGGTTTTCATTGATGTACTTGAAAGGATGAACTATTATTTGCTTTACGTTGTTATGGACTGTTGTGGACTATTCGTTTTGGACCCGACCTTGGTAAAAGCTCGTCACTACTTTCAACCTAAGGTTAGTTTTGTTACTTATTGAGTACATGGGGTCGGTTGTACTCATACTACACTTCTGCATCTTGCGTGCAGATGTTGGCTGCTGATGTTGCTGTGTTCGATGGGAGTTGGATATGATGATGTACCTGCATTCCGGTTGTAGCTGCCTCTTGTTCATGGTAACATTAGATTTATAACAATCTGTTCATGTACATTTCGAACAGATGATGTATTATTTCATACCAATTTTGTAAATTCTATTATTAGAAGCTCATGATTTGTACTACCAATTCTTGGGGAATGTATAAGATTAAGATAATTATACTTAAATTACTTTAGTAACTGTTATTGGAATTTGGTTAGTGGTTAAGTGGCTTACCTAGCGGGTGGGTTAGGTGCCATCACGACTAGTCTTATTCTGGGTCGTGACACTTAGGAGCATACTCAAAGTTCTCATCCATGTCAAAGGTTCATTACCTTCACAATTCAATTAGATTAACAAAATTCTTGTGGTTCACTTGTGAAAAGTTATCAATGTATGATGCATATTAGCTGAATATCATACAATCTCTGAAATGTATTTTTGAAAATGAAAATTCTAAAACCTGCTACACAAACACTCCTCTGACTTGACAACTAAATTTCCAGTTATTCAATAACCATCATCAGTACTATAGAATCAAAAAATGTTTGGTGTACATGCAGAACTTGACAAAGAGAATTTTTCCTTGCTGTTGCATTTATTTTTACTAAACAAATATGTGTTCGAGCATCTTTAATTTGCCATATTCTAACTTTATGGAATAGGTACACATTTGTGGCTCGTTTATTCTGGAAAAGTTGAATTTCATTCCACCCTCCCCCCTCCCTTCTTTTCGATTAGTAAGTTTCTCACTCATTTTTTTCCTTTTTGCGTTTATGATGGAAGCTCTTAAGCTACACAAAATTGTAACATTGCATGTGATACCATTTGCGATATAATTTCTTTAGAGGTAGCCTGCTAACTTTTTAGTTTGCTGTCAGGGGTCTCTTTCTCATTTTCATCAGAAGTTGATATGCAAAAAGTAGAATCAAAAAGAGAAATTTCCTTTGGGAAAAGGGTATGGCTATAGAGATTCCAGTTGCCGCTTTGTATGAAGGCTCACCAAGCGACCAACAATGTGATCAGTGTTTTTGTAGTCTGCATTGGAATTTTTTATAGTTAGCGTTCTCAGCTTGTTCTAAAGCTGCATTAGGAGAAAATGTTGTATTGCTTGAGAAACATTATTTAATGGTGTTATGAGATTTTTAAAAATAAAGTATGTATGTGACTCTTTTGTTTTTATACAAAATTCTTTTCTGGTGTATGACTCGTGGGATCAAAATTATATGAATGATTATGGTATAAGATTAGAATTTATTATTATTTTTAACATCTAAAAGGAAGAAAAAAAGCTATTGATTAATTGGAGGTAATTTCCTGACGTTTTTATATATGTGTAGCAAGGATGGGTATGATTTGCCGATATGTTTTTTTATATGTCGCAACTAGAATGAGTTAAAACTCAAAGTTTGTGACATTTGTAAGTGTCTTAAATAAATGTCACTATTTATTTGCCGATATTAATGTAAATGTCGGAAAATTCCCGACTTTGAAATTTACGAAATTTGATTTAAGTGTCAAATAAATGTCGGCAATTCATTTTGTGATATTTATGTGATTTAAAATGACGTTTAAAAAATATCGCCGTATCCAAACTTTCTTGTAGTGTATAGTAGTGAAGAAGTCATGAAAAAAGTAGTAATAGCATCAAGATAATAGAAAACTAAAGCAGTAAAAATATCATGTAGTGATAGAGATCTAAGAATAAGAACATACGAGAATAATACTAGTGCAACCGGTAAGGGAAGGAAAAATGCTCGACAAAGATGATCTCAATGAAAGACAAAGGAGAAACTGAATCCAAAGTTGGAATTAATCAGAAACAGTGTGTAAAGTATTCTAAACTACATTCTTGATATGGTATATACTAAGAACCAAGACTATAATCCTATTAACCCTGAACTGCTAAAAAAATAAATTTTCAGAAGTGTGTATTCTGAGTTTGTACAGCAACAGGACTTCTAACCCTATGAACATTATTAAACCAAGTATAGCTTCCAAAAACATCTTTGTTTAATGGTTGCAAAGGAGTGATATCCACTCGAAATGTTGCTTTACTTCCATCGCGTTGAAAGCTTAGGGTACTCGGCTTCACTTGTATTGAAACTCCTTTAGGATTTTCTATCTCAACTTGGAAATCAGTAGGATCGCCATATTTTCCTCGATAAGTGACTGTACGATAAACTGATATCGTCTTATTTCTCAAATTTGAAACTTCGATCAAGGGGTAGTTAAGATCGTAATGTGGAAGCTGACTATTATTAGAGCACTCAATTTGATATCCCAATAAACCTTGTAAAGTTCTTTGAGTGATTCCAACAGCACTAGAACATAGATAGGAAACTATATCTTCCATGTCGAAATCATAAACCAGGCCTGGATCTAGTGCAGCATTTGGGTTCAACAAGCCTGAACCAATGTCATAAGGTGTTGCAATAACATTCCCTGAATCTGTTTGTATTGGCTTCTTAGAATTGTCCAAGTTATAAGCTGCATAAAACAAACCATATTGTTAAGATCAAATATGAGACACCAACCTTAGAATTTCTAAATCAAGAAAAAGAATTTCAAGTAATTGTTTAAGTATAACAAACAAGTTATTGCATTATGAAAAGGGTTCAATGGGATGGTTGAGATCCCTCTACCGTTAACAAAAGGTCTCGGATTTAAGTTATGGAATGAAAAACTTTTTGGTAGGGTGCGCTTTGCTCCCATAGTGGGCCTACATGGCGTCAATTCAGATTAGTCGGCCAGTGAGCTTCGAATTTCGGATGGTTACAACAACAATAACAAGGGCTTTAACACATTAGGTCAATTAGCTAAAAATAATTACAGCCGCTATCCAAATGTTAGAAAAATACACTTATTATGTATAAAATACGTATATTATATGTATATTATACATTAAATATATCAAAATATACATTTGCCAGCTATTATTTTGGAGATGTATATTTCCCTAATAACTATGCGTTAGTCCCAAACAAGTTAGAATTGATCATATGAATCCTCATTGACCGTGTTGCTCCATTAAAACTCATCTCATGCCAAAAGCGATATCGGATGGTTGAACTCAAAAAATCAAGTTTAGTCTGTCAAATACTTTTTTTTAGGAATCCTAAACTTACGAGCCCGATTAATCTGAATTCGAGCCGCCTATGAGCTTGTTTTTTAGCATTAGTAAAGAATACATACCTGTTGTCATCAATGCAGATTTTATTTCAGCTGGACTCCAATGAGGATAAAGAGCTTTTAGAAGTGCAGCCACACCAGTAACATGAGGGGTTGCCATTGAAGTTCCTGACATTATATCGTAGAATATCGAGTCTGCTCTCGCCTTTTCAAAAGGAGGCCAAGCTGCTAAAATGTTTCTTCCTGGTGCTGCTAAATCAGGCTATAACCAAACTAGTGTCAGCACTTGATTTACGTTAATACAAACAGACAGAGGCGGATTCAGGATTTCAAAAGGATGGGTGCATTGTTATAAAGAGGTGGATCTAGAATTTACACTTCACGGGTTTAACTTTAGTCTTTTATCATAAACTCACTACACTTTTAAAATTACAGGTTCAAAATTATATTCTTTTTGAAATTTTAGTAATTTTCACATATATATCTATACTCCATGCAGAAAACAAGATCGTTTAGAGTGGCATTTTCACATATATATCTATATTTAAGTAATTTTGAAGCAATATAACATTGTTATACATGGTTCAGGGAGAAGAGTATTGGTTCACGTGAACTCATGCCCCTTAACCTAGATACACCTCCGCAAACAGAGGCGGAGTCAGAATTTGAAGTTTATGAGTTTTGAACTTGCCAGCAAATCCATCGCTCGTTTAAGTAACTGAGTACGCAATTAAACATTTATACGTATATAATAAATTTTCTAATACAAATATATGATCTACTAGGTCCGATCCTGGTATAAAATATTTTTTAAGAAAAATAAATGAATATTTAAAAGAAAAAAGAGTACCTTAATGATGCCAGGGGCACTGCCAGGTCCTCTTGAAGAGAAATATGCCACAGTAGGCTCATGTTGTGTAGGCTGTTGAACTGATGTTCTTAAAATGATAGCAAAAGGTCGACTGTGTATACATTCAAAAACATATCATAAATTCAAACCACTAATAAGTTAGTTATGTGATAATTCTTAGCGACTCTGAAATGATTGGTGAAGTCAGCAATTTCGCTAAGGATATTTAAGGAACACTCGGAATTTTAATATATATGCGTAAAAAATAATATTTGACCTATGTCTATACATGATGTTCAACTAATTACCCTTGAGCCTATGCATAGGCGGACCCTGTATATGAAAATGGCAGGAACACTACTATCGAATAAAATTTAAGTAAATGCTGGAGTGAGAATCAAACTTAGACAACGCATTAAAAGTCAAGTTGTCTCCCTTTCCCCCTCCCAAATCGGCCAACACAGTTGCCTAAGCTTTGAATCTTAGGGTGAATCAAAATATATACATATTATTTAAGATATATATATATATATATATATATAGATACACGTATTTTTGCCAAAATTATCCGGGGACTGGTGACTCCCTACCCTAAGGTAGGTCCACCTCTGAGCCTATGTGGCTACATGGCGAAGGGTGTTCAAGATTTTAATATATGTTCAAAAAGCAAAGAATAATGTAAATTAAAATGAAAGATTTTAGTGTTATATGACTTACTTTGATGATTTCATGTATGCAAAAAGCTTTTCACCTTCTGAGGGAGTAATTGTAGCCAAAGGAATATCATAAGACAAACCAATTTCCTTAGTACCAGCTCCATCAATAACTATAACACCAACTCCCCCCTTTTTTGCGTACATTTACTGCTTTATCATACTTTGAACTGCCCCAAATATCATGAATATCCGTTGTTGTGCAAACCACAATCTTACCATAAATCAAATTATAATCCAATGAATCAGCATCATTGCAAGAGCTAGAAAAAAATATTAAAAAGAATTAGTTATTAGAAAGAATACCATGCAGTGTAAGTATTTAACATAAAAAGGAGCAGCTCGGTGCACGAAGTATTCCGTGTTCACAGAGAGTTAGGAGAAGGGTTACGTTCACGGTGTAAATATTTAACATAAAAAGGAGCAACCCAGTGCACAAAGCATCTCGCGTTCACCGCAGGGTCAGGAGAAGGACTGTTTTCACCTGTGTTCTCGGTGTAAATATTTAACATATCAAAAAAATAAAGTTAATTACCTTGCTCTGTCAATATAGGCATTACCAATTGCTGCATCTTTTGCAACAACAAGGTTTGCATAACCAGTCATCTGATTAATATTGCGTGCAAAACCCTAAAATTCAAGTCGACAAAAAAATAATTCAAAATGAAGAAAAGAAAAATCGAAAGGAGAAAAAAATTTAATTTCCATTCCCTATGGCATAAGTTAACATTGATCTGTCTATTAAAGTCAGAAGATGTCCCACAAATATTATGATAGGTTTAAGACTAAAGTCTTATAAGTGTTATAGGCACACAAATATTATACCAGTATATTTACATCATAAGTTTTAAAATGTCTTTCTTAAACTCCATTTTGAGGCAGACTACATCACATTAATTGAAAACGGGGAAATATATTTTATAGCCCCATCTATGGGTGTCAATTTTTTTTTTGGGGGGGGGGGGGGGGGTTGGTTGGCTGATATTGGACGGGTCAAAATGGCTTAAGTGGGCGGCGGGCTGAGACGGGTTGGGTCAAAAAGGGGTAAAATTTGGCATAGCCTAATCCCTCCAACTCTAAACAAGCTTTAATTAATATGTTTGTTTTGTTATGGTTATCTATAACATATCAAATAAAACAAAAAAAATTTAAGATATTCTGGCAAAGTTACTCATCGATCAATTTGAACTAAAAATTAGTCTAATTTTAAATACACTGAGATGAGTTATGTCAAAATGAGCCGAGTTCAAGAAATGAGCGGGTCATTGACTTACCATCAAGATTTAGATACATACTCTCTATCAGCTGCAGATGAGACCACGACGCCGTTTTGGAACGCGTGCAATACCGCGATGGCGTTACAGTCCTGAAGAAAAGTTGGATGACCATCCGTGACAATATTACCGAGTGAAATTGATATGACATCTACACCATCATAAATCGCGTCGTCAAAAGCTTTGAGTAAATCAGAACAAGTGCACCCGGTTGAGCCAACATGCTTTGTAAATAGCTAATCTTGCTTTTGGAGCTCCCCCTCTCATTGTGTCGCCGCTGCCGTCATCGAGCGAAACCGGTACTCCCACGGCGGTAGACGCCGTGTGTGTACCGTGACCAAAATCATCACGGGCAGACATGTAATATCGATGATTTAATGAACTTATAGGGTGGCCTTGCTCCTTCTCAAATCCTTGATAATAATAACGGGCACCAATAATTTTACTGCATACACAAATGAAATAGGAATATAAGTTCCTTTTGGTGTAGTATAAAATATGAGGATTAAACTTCTTAAGTAGTTTAAAATATAGCATGAATTACATATACTCGCGAAGCCATAAAATTCAATATTTTGAACACTCTTTGCTCGTGTGCTATATAATTAAGGGTGTTGAAAATCTATTGTTTGATTAATACTAAGTACTAATACTTTACCCTATACACAATATAATTTTTCGACAAAGTGTGTTCAATTGACCTCACATAACTTCGCCCCTAATCATACACACACATACACACACTCTATGTATATTATATTATTAAACATCTTTCACTTTTTAAAGACACGTTAAAAATGGTACTTCATCATGTCTTAATATTAGTCGTTTTGGCAAACTAAATTTATTTTAAAACATGACATTTTAGACACATAAGGTGTGGAAATTCACACTTACTGCTCCAATTGGTATATAAATATTAAGTTAGATGTTTAAAAGAGATAAGGGATAGTTTAGACAAATAATCTTATATTATTAAAGCTATTAAATACTTATAAGATAGTGCACGAAAATCTTAAAAGACAAACAATATTAAAAAAAGACAGTATTAATTTCTTACCGAGGGCATCGAACATCGTGATCCCAACATCCACCCCTCCATCGTGATGGCACAGGTCCAAGTAGGGGTGGCAAGTGGGTCGGGCCCGGTCCTAAGTGAGCTTTGCGGGCCCGGTTCTAAGTGGGCCGGTCTTATGCGGTCCGGTCCTAAACGGTCCTGGGCTTCGCGGGCTTATTGCTGGAACCGGCTCGGGATCGGGACCACGAACTAACGGGCCCGGGTTAAGTGGGTCGGTTCCGGGCCCAAACGGGCCTAAACGGGCCCAACAGAAACTTTTTATTTTTAATTTTTTTTTATAGAAGTTAGAGAAAAAAATAGTAATAAAGATAAATAAGCTATATTCGATTTATATACTATATATACATCTTAAAATATATATATACTATATTATAT